AAAAAATTTTTTTTTGATGATAGCCATGCTAGTGGGTATGAAGTGTATCTCATGGCAGTTTTGACTTGTATTTCCCTAATGACCAGTGGAGTATACTGTCATGTACTTCCTGGCCATTTGCATATCTTCTTTGGAGAAGTGTCTATTCAAGTCCTTTGCCCGTTTTTAAATTGGTTTTTTTTTTTTTTTTTTTTTTTGCTGTTATTTGTAGGAGTTCTTTACATATCTTGGATGTTAATCCTTTGTCAGGTATATTACCTGTAAATATTTTCTCCCTTCTATGACTTATCTTTTCACTCTCTTGATAGATTGTCCTTTGATGAACAAATGTCTTTTAATTTGGTACAGTCAGTTTCTCTATCTTTTCTTTTGTTGCCTGTGCTTTTGGTGTCAGACTAACGCCAAACCCAAGGTGATAAAGATCTTCCCCTATGTTTTCTTCTGAGTGAATTTCTTCCAAGTAAAAGGTACATTTAAAAATGGTTAAAATGTAAATTTTTATGTATATTTAACAATAAAAATTTTATTCCCACACCCCATACCTTATAAACAGGGGTTTACTGGGTAGAACATCTTTAAACAAGGAACAAGATTACTCTGCAAAGTACAGTCCATTACTGGGACTTCAAGGTGAAGAACTCACGACTGACGGATCTGACTCAGTCCACTGCTCTGACTGCCACAGTCCTGTATTAAACTGAGCTAAATGCACTTTCCTTCTGTGGTTTTGCCCTCCAGACTCCAGCCTCCTGAGTCCACAGGACAGGTCTAATAACCCTTTCCCACGAAGTAGCTCTCCGCCTGGCTGGTGGCAGCTGCCACGACGCATTAGTCACGACTGATTGGTTGCATGCCACCCCTGGGGGCTCAGGGGGAAGGCAGGTGATAGAACCAAGCAAGTCATGGCGCTGGCATTTGAACCTTTGGAGGTGTCCCTACCTCCAATGCCATGTTTCCAACGCGGAGGCCACATTGCCTGGTGGCCAGATTCCTCTCCCAACCTTCTCTCTGCTATCTGGTGGTCCTTTCCTCATGTGACTTGTTCCGTGTCTCTCCCCAGCCATCTCCTCCATTTGCAGTGAATGCCAGGTAAGTGCCACCAAGGCAGAGGGTTACTGCACCCTCTGCCCACCTTCCACCGATGCCCTAGTATACCCTGTGCCCTACAAGGCCCAGTGGCCCCACGGAGGGCAAAGGACCATTGGCAGAAATCTACTCCAGGCCCCCAAAGCCCCCTTCTCCCCACCTTTCCCTTTGCTCAGGCAGAGGCCAGCCCACACCCTCTCGAGCAGTTTCCTCCCAGGAGCTCCGCATCTGAAAATGTGGCAATCTCAGGATTAACAGCCTGTTTGTTTAGAGGGCTTATTACTGGTGCTTAATGCTATATTGACAGATGAAAGTGAGTCAATTATAGCTGGAAATAGCTCTGGCTGCATAGGTTTCCTTTCCCAAGGTGGTTGCCCATTCTTCATCCCAGGGACCGTGTCTTTTCCTCTTGTCCCCTTGGGCCTCCAGATTATCTTAAAGAGGTTCTTCCTTCCAGGAAGAAAGCGAACATTTAAGGCAGAGACCTCAATCCATGAGATGAGGGTTGCTGCTGCAGACCCCTCTCTGACAGAGATGCAGCAAAAGGATGCCAAAGGGACAACCTCCAGGCTAAGGGGTGAGCTGTGTCCATACAGGCATCACTCTGCCTTTACTGAATGTTTCTCCATGGCTCTCTTGGGGCAAGGGTTTCCGTGTTTGATACCCAATCATGAACAGTTGGTCAAGGCTTGAGTACCTGGAATCACCTTTATGAAGACAAGAGATCCTTTGTGGGTGGCTCACAGGGCTTCCCAGGGTCACACTGAGTTATGCTAAGGCCGCCATGAAGGGTATTCTGATGCACCTCCGTCAGTGGGGAGTCTGTGCTCTGGGCTCCCTGGTGTCCCTGGAGCAGGGCTGTGACCTGCCGTGCAGTTGGCTGGTCAACTGGGCACAGGGCCAATTGGGTGGGAGGCCAGGAGTGTGGTGGGGTATGTACTTGTAACAGGCATCTCAAACCTAACAGGCTCAAGACAGAACTCTCTTTCTCTGACAAGAGGCCACATTGCCTGGTGGCCAGGTTCCTCCTCAGCCTTCTTCTCTGCAACCCCTTGGTCTTTCCTCATGTGACTTCTTTCTGTGTCTCTCCCCAGCCCATTCCTCCATTTGCAGTGAATGCCAGGTAAGGTCCACCAAGGCAGAGGCTTACTGCACCCTCTGCCCACCTTTCCACCGATGTCCTACTGTGCCCTGTGCCCTACAAGGCCAAGACACACCTGGGCTTCTCCAGGCTCTCCTATCACAGAGCATGGCTCCACCATCCACACATCTGCTCAAGCTCCTATCCTCAGAGCCATCCTGGATTTTTATCTTTCTCTCACCCCTTATGGTCCTTAAATAGAATCCACCAGAAAATCCTTCTGCCTCTCTATTTCCAAATTTGATAGCACACCTGACCAATCTGTTACATATCCTATGCCACCATCCTAGCGTAAGCCACCATCCTAGCGTAAGAAGTCTTGCCTGAAACAGCGTCGCGACAAATACTCCAGCTTTCATTCTTGCCAGAGGCATCTTTTAAAGACAGAAATCAGATCTTCCCCCTCAACCTCCACGACTGCCCCTCAAACTTAGACTCCAATCTAAACTCCTCCCAGTGGCCCACAGGCTGTGCGCACTCTGGCCCGGCCAGTGTCACCTCCCTTGCCTTTGCTCCTCGCTTACTCTGCGCCGACCACGCTTGTCTCTTTGCTGATCTTAGAACACACACTCCCACCTCGGGGCCTTTGCACGCAAGGTTCCCTCCACCTGGAAGTTTCCTCCCCCACATCTGCACATGGCTGGTGGCTTCTCATCCCTCAAGCCTTAGCTCAAACCAACTTCTTTCCAGAGAAGACTTTTCTGATAGCACTGTTTGAAAGTTATCTTATTTGTTTATCAGTAATTTATCTTCTCCTATAAGAAAACTTTAAAAAAAATTTAGTTAATTAATTTTAGAGACAGGGTCTCCCTCTGTTGCCCAGGCTGGAGTGCAGTGGCGTCACCATAGCTCACTGTAATCTCAAACTCCTGGGCTCAGGTGATCTTCCTGCCTCAGCCTCCTGAGGAGCTAGGACTATAGGTGTGTACCACCATGCCTGGCTAGTTTTTCTATATTTTTGTAGCAATGGGGTCTTGCTATATTGCCCAGGCTGGTCTCAAACTCCTGGCCTCAAGTGATCCTCCAGCCTTGGCCTTCTAGAGCCACTGTGCTCAGCTTATCAGAAAACTTAAGTGCTAATGAGATCTGCGACTTTGTCTTATTCACTACTGTAACACAGTGTCTAGAACAGGGCCTGGCACACAGTAAGCACTCAATAAATATTTGTTGAATGAATATATGTAGGTTGTAAAACATGCTCACAAATAGGCACTCTTCCATTAAAAGGTGGGGTCTATGTCCACTCCCCTTGATTCTGGGCCACCTTAGTGACTAGCTGGCCAGTAGATTATGATAGAAGTGACACTATGTGGTCTTAAAAGGTGATGCAGCCTTGGTCTCTGGACCACTTGTGCTGGAGACCGAGCCACCACATATGCAGTCTGACCACTCTCGGTGAGGAAGCCCAATCCAGCCCATGCAGAGAGAACACATGGAGAAGGCCTAAGATAACACGAGGAGGGAGAGAGACATGGTCAACCCCAGTTGCTCTGGCCTGCACTGTTCCACCTCCAGCCAATCTGACTGCAATTGTATGAGAGACCCAGACCTAGAACCATCCTGCTGAGCCCTTCCTGAATTCCTGACCAACAGAAATTGTAAAATATATAAAACAATTGATTTTGTTTAAGCCATTAAGTTTTAAGGTGATTTATTTCACTGCAATAGATAAATGGGACAGAGGGAATGAATGTTTCATATCAAACTATTTTCCGTGGCTGCTATGATGGGCACCTATGATGGCACATAGCCAATTTACTGACCCAAGTGCCTAAGAGGTCTGTGTCAGCCCATGAGAATGGGAGGAAACAAACAGGAGATTGGGAATTACTATAATACTAGTTTGGCTACAGCTGTCAAAGAGCCTCATCTGGGTTGACATGGACTTCTTAATAGGAATAGTTCAGAACCTCCTCAAAATTCCCTGCTTGTGTTCTTTAATATTTGGAATTTCTTTTCCCAAATTAGAGATTCAGGCTTAACCAGGAGAACCCTTCTTGATTGGTTGTGTCAAAACTCTTCTCAAAGAGAGTAGATTCCATTGCTTTGACTCTTTCTGTCTCTTTCATATCACCTACATGAAGTTCCTTCTCCATCACAGAGACAGGACCTTGTGGACAAAAACATATCCCACCTTTGGAGATCTTAGCCCCATCAATAGGATGTGTTCTGCAGAGTGAGAGAATATTATACTGGGAGGTACAGATGATGATGGTGATGGTGATGATGATGATGATGATAACACTGAATGTCTCTACTGACATTACTCATTCTACTAGGCATTTCACATATCTTATCTCATCTAGTCTCCACATCTTCCACTGTTACCATCCCCACCCCTATTTTACTGATGAGGCAACTAGAGTTTAGAGAGATAAAGGCGACATATTTGAAGTCCAGTGCCTCGGATCCCGATTTTCTTGGAAATCACCCAGCTGGGATGGGATGATAGCTATGTGACATGCCAGCCACCGTCCTCCTCCCACAGTCCTGGCATCTGTTCCCATCGAGCCTGGATGCAGCCCCGGGGTCACTCTCAGCACAGCTCTCCAGGCAGGCACTGCCCATCGGTCAAAATCGGCATGCCAGATGAAAGCCACTGGCCGAACCCCCTCATTTCTAAGGAAGGGAGGCAGGAGGCCAGGTCACTTGCTGAGGTCATCCCGAGCAGGTGGTGGAGCTGGGACGGACACGCATCTGGGAAGGGGATACCGCCTCCCGAGCACCCCCCACACCTAGCGATGGTCCCCTGCCCCATGGGGAGGCCACTCACCCGCGGACGGCGTGCAGCAGGCGCAGGGAGGGGTATGCAGTCCGCACGTTGACCCGGTGCTTCAGGATGAGCTCATTGACCCACTCGACACGCTCCTTGCCGCCCCGGGCCATGAAGGCAGGGATCCACAGGATGCTGCCGTTGAGGCTGTGCAGCCGCTGCAGCAGCTTCTCCCGCCACGTGGCATTGACCAAGTCCTCGAAGGCGCGCTGGATGACCGAGGGGTTCATGGTCACCAGGTCCGTCTTGAGCCCCACATCCCGGGCATACTCTTGCACCGGGGCCAGGTTGCACCTGCCGGGGGGAAAAGGCAACATGGTTCTTTCGGGAAAGCTGAGACGGCTTCTTGTCTTGAACTTGGTCCTGTCCATTGCCTCTCCTTGCTTCCCGCCCAGGGCATCTCTCCCCTCCTCACGGGCCCCTCCTGTCATCCCTCCTCCTCCTCCTCTTCCTGCTGCAAATGTTTACTGAGCTCCTACCACATACCTAGAACTTTTCCAGGCCCCGGGGATGTAAACTGCCTGCCTCCTGGAGTTCGGGAGCTAGGAGAGGAGGGAAGAAGCAAGCAAGCCAGTCCGCAGCCCGCAAGAGGACAACGCTGTTGGCCGGAGTGACCTGGACCATTAGGTGACAGAGTGAGGGCGCCGAAGGCAGACTCCCTGGTTCAAACCTCTGCTCGGACACTTTCTACTCGTGTGATTATGGGCAACTTGCTCAACCTCTCTGGGCTTCCTGAGAGCTTCCGCTACTTTAGCTACGATAGAGATCACGGTGGCACTTCTCCCAGGGACTCAAGGAGTGGCCACACATCCCGCACTTAGAACACGGCTGGGCCACGCTAAGAGCCCGGTAAGTGTTAACTATTGTCATCGTTGTTCTGAGAAGCAGGAGTAGCAGGTGGTGTTCCCAAGTGGTGACCACTGGGGGAAGTCCAGGAGGAGGGACGAGAAGTCTGCTAGGGACGAGGTGCATGAAGGGAGGCCTTCTGCAGTTTGCCACGTCAGAAGGACCCCCCGGCACTTGCTAAAAACACAGATTCCCCAGGTCGCTCACCTGGAGATTCCGATTCAGCAGGTGAGCCTGAGAATTGATATTTATTTCTTACAGGATTGTCCTCTTCGGGTAAGGGTTATAGCCAAGCAGTTTAGGAAACACCATGCTATGGCACTTTAGACACAAGAAATGTATCCAAGGGCAGGCTGATGTGGAACTCCATGGGGGCTCAGGGGAAAGCAAGTGATTTGGTCTGACTAGGGCATATTGTGGAATTGGAGCTGGAGAAGCAAGCAGAGTGAGACATCAAAGTCCATGTGTCAGGGACTTCATTCTGAAGGCAAAAGGGAGCCACTGAAGGTTCTTGAGCAGGAGAGTGGCTTGGGCAGATTTGCATTTTAGGTAACAGGTAGACAATAGTAAGATGAAGTTGTAGTATGTACTGGAGGGGATGGAGTTGGGCGTTGGAAGGCAAATAAGAGGACACTGCAATCTCTTGCTGAACAAGTCGGGCTGCCTGGGCGGGCAGCTTCTGCTATTTAACTTGAGGACTTGCTTGTGGGGCACCTGGCCCGGGTGTGCACACCTGGGCTTCCTGACTGTGCTGGGACTAGGATGGCAGCAGGGGCGCTGCTGGGGGGCCTGGCTGCTGTCTGGCGTGCAGGATCTGATGGTGGGAAGGCCCTTTGACCAATGGAAATAAGTCTGAGAAATCAGAACAAGTGCCTACAAAACAGACACTGGCGACATGGAGACCAGGGGCCACACGCCATCGCCAAATGATGAAATTCAGAAAATCACCATTTACCCCTTTCTTTAAGGACTTTCCTTCTTCGACAATTGGGCAGAAAAAGTAGATTCATCCAAAAGAAAACTAACATTTATTGCGCCCCAGGTGTGTGCCAGACACTCTGCTGGCCCTTTAACAGGGTTAGTTTGTTTTATGATGACCCTGTTTTAACCACTTTTATTTCAGTGATGGGGAAACTGAGGCCCACAGTGCGAGAATTAATTTGCTCAGACTCTTGGGGAGGGAAAAGCAGGACTCAGGCTCAGGTGTATCTGACTCAAAAAGTCTGTTTGCTCTTTTCAGACTGGACCCTGCAAAGTGTCCACTTTCCCATCTGCACCCCAGGCCTTGCCGTCCCTGACTGTGGCTGAACGTTGCAAGGGGACAGAACTGTCTTGGGACAGTTCCCCTTTGGGAGCCCCTGCCACAGGCCTCAGAGACTGGGTGTCACTGCCAGCACATCAGCCAGTCTGGGCCACCCAGTTACCCCTATTGTCCTAAAACCCAGTCGAGCCCGGCTGCCACGCCTTCCCGAGGGCTGGGGCCCCTCCAGGCCAACCTCCAGGGCCAGGCGGACTCAGTGAGGTTAAGACACACTGGAACCAGCCACGGGCCAGGAGGGCCCGAGGGAGGGACACAGAATGGGGCCGCAGTGGAGCCTAACCCGGCGGGCTGGCAGGGGGCTGGGGAAGGCGGGCGGGACACACGGACACAGTGTCGCCGGCCAGGTCGGATGCCGTGCACAGGAGGACGTGGGGGTGGGCGCTGGGGACCGGGGACTGTGCAGCCCTGGAGCAGGCCCGGCTGTCATCCGACACAGGACCCGCTCAGGCAGGGGCTCCGCCCCGTACCTGCAGGGGCGGAAGTGGGGGGCGCTGACCTGTCCAGGCCCTTCCAGTGACCCTGTCTCAGTGAGGACGCCGGGCTGGGGCGGCTCTGCCCTGATGGACTCCCTAGACGCCCCCTTCCCCACTGGATGTGAACTGCTTCCCTTAGCGGGGAAGGGAGCGGTCAGGCGGGGTTGAGCCTGGCCCGGGCTCTCCCTAGTCCCACAGCGGGCCAGGCCTCCCGACACACCACAGACCTGGCGAAGGGTAACAGAACTGGGACAGCTCCGGCTGCCAGGCCACGGCGGCGCTTCCCTCCCAGCGTGCAGGCGCAGAGACACGCCTCTTCCCGTGTCCTGGGGTCCAGGGAACTCTGTGATAAGGCAGCTTCCCAAAGCCCCAGGACAAGGCTCTCTTTGCATCCGGACTGTCCCCATAGAAACCCGAGACCCGGAATGCAGCTCTGCCAGGGCTGGGGAGCTGTCCGGAAAGAAACTCGAGGCGCTGTGTGCCCTACTTTTGACCAGGGGACAGCAATGCCTTGTTTCCAAGTCTGTATGGGGTGGGGGTCAGGTGTCAGGGCCACGGGTAACTGTGTCCAGATGGCCCAGGCGACTGAAAACTGATATTTAGATAAAAAGATGGTCAAGTACAAAATGCAGGTTTCCCTGCTGCTCCCTCAATTCCCAGACTGTGACAACAGGATAATCCAGTTACTAGGAGAGCACCAGCTTCCGGGACACTTAAAAGAGTTTTGCAAACTCGGTCCAACAACTGGCCAGCCCAGGAGTCTTTCTTGCCCACATTGTGTGCCAGGCCCTACCTAGGGGGTCAGCCAACTTCTTCTGTAAAGGGTCACATAAATAAACATTTTCAGCTTGGCAGGCTTTGTGCTGTCGGCGCTGCAACTCTTCACTTCTGCCCAGCTACTCCACGCTGCCCAGCTACTCCACGCTGCCCAGCTACTCCATGATGCCCAGCTACTCCACGGGCTTTGCAGTTGCCACGGACGGTAGAGACTGAGTGACGCGGCCGTGTTCCAATCAAGCTCCATTTGCAACAGCAGGCCCTGGGCTGCCGCCTGCCCACCTCTGCTCCGGATCAGTGATTCTCAGCCTTAGCCATGGAGCAGAATCACGTGGGCTTCCTGGGTCGTCCGGGCCCTGGGTGCCCCCCCATCGAAACCTTGCCGCTGACCCCACTGTTGATTTAACCGGCCTGCGGTACAGTCTGGACATTGGGGACGGAGCTCCCCAAGTGACTCTGGTGAGCACTCACAGCTGAGAACGGGGGTAACTCAACCAATGCACCTTGCTTCGATCTCCTGGGACACCTAGCCGTGCTTGACGTGCACACAGTGGACCCGTGGGCCCAGAGCACCTGCCCCAGTTGGTTACCTGATGACAAAGCTGTGTGTGTCGATCTCCGGCCCACAGCCGCTATTCAGCAAGACCCCCGAGTTGCCCACGATGGCACAAGTCCGGAAATGCTTGTTCTTCAGCGGCGAGGTTCTGGGGAGGAGCTCGTAGAGGTTCTGCGACACGTTCATTGTGCTGTCTCGATCGAAGATGTAGTGGATAATGTCTCCGGGCTTCAGGGTCCCCTTGAGGACAGAAATGTCCTTTTCAGCATCCAAGAACTTTAAAATTTGCTTCCTATGAAAAGCAAACACACGTGAGGACAATCTCCACGTTGCCAGTTGCCCTTTGCCCGCCTAGCTTGTCCTGTGTTCCCTGCAGTGGGGCGGCTGCACCTGCAAACGGTGGGGCGTGCTGAGGGGCCAGACGCCCTGGAGAAAGGGCGCCAGGCAGGGATGGCCAGAAAAGGCCCATAGGCAGCTGCGGTGGTGGCCAATCTCGTGGTTGCCATGGTCACACTCTCTTCCTATGAGAGGTGAAATAGCCCCCGTAGGACTGGAGGTGAGCTTCTCATGAGGGTCCCAGAAGGAAGGAAGGGGGCCCCACCATCCTGGTTTGCCCAGGACCGTCTGGTTTAAGCACTAGAAGTCTCATAGCTCAGAAAACCCCTCAGTCTTAGGCAAACCCAGACACTCGGTCACCCTATGTCACAAGCCCCCCTCTTAGGGGTATTCAGGGCCATCATCTGGCAGGAAGTCCTGAACCAGGAACAGGACGCCACATGGAACATGTCCCTCATTCCTCACTGGCCCGTTTCCTTCCATGGACCGTTCCTCTGGGCAAAGCGGCTGCCGGGGGGTGAGCAGGAGTATGAGGACTTCGAGGTGTACCCACACTTCCACCTCTCAGACACTGGGAGGGTGGCTGCCATCCAGGAGCTGCTCTATATTGTGCACATGTCCCCTGGCCCCCAGCTGCTGTCTAGTGGTGCCCGGTGGCGGGGGGGTAGTGGTGGTGGTGGTGAGTGTTGTAAATATTGACACCTCCCTGGCCCCAGAGCAGGGCTCCTTTGTGTAGGGCCTGGGCCTACAAGACAGGATGGATGGATGGAAAGAACGAGAGCAAGGTGAATGAAGGGTCAGGTGAAAATGCCTGCCTGAAGCTGCTTGTTTGCTGTGTGCAAAGGTCAGCTGAAAACAGCTGACCTGCATGGAAGTTGTTAAAAAAAATTAGCAAACGGCCCTGACCCTTTGCACGTGTCCTTGGGAATAAATAGGGGGTAGGGAACTTGGCTGAGGAGGTCATTTTCTTCTTTAGATTTTGGTCTCTCCTCTTCTCTCTAAATGCTGTGTTTCGAGAAACCGTTCTATTCCTTCTCTACCGGGCTCAGGAGCGAAAAAGTAGCTGCAACTACCTTTGTGTTGTTTCAGAACAAGGGTGATCAAAAGACAGTTTCTCTAGGCCGCCAGGTAGCTTTGAATCTGGGGAAAGTTCTCAAATAATCTAGCAAAGCATCTAGCAAAGCACACTGAAGGGATGGGGTAGGGTCGGAAAGGGGGGTAGGGTTGGAAAGGGAGGTAGGGGTAGGGGTAGGGGGGTGGGTGTGCTTGGACTGCACCAAGAAAGTTTTAGCCAAAACACGCATCCTGCCCCCAGGAGTCTGGGGACCCGAGCTGGGGGTTTTACTTGAAGAATTGTCCCAATCACCCAAAAGATTTTTAGGAGTGATTCAAGTCATAAAGAGAAAGAAATGGGATACTGGGACTATCAGATAAGATTAAATCAGTTCCCTGCAGAGAGCCCCCAGCTAGAACAGGTAGGAAGGTGCTAGTCTTGGTTTCCCGAGTCCCGCTAGCTCAGCATCTTTGTGCACTGTGAACACACGAGACTCTGCGTGGCTGCCCCGTCGTACGGGGGGGCGGTGGGGGGGCACTGACAGCCTGTGGATTTGAGATGTTCGCTGCCGGTGTGGGCTGCACGTTCCATCGCTGGGGGAAACTTTAAAGAATTCGAAAGCTCTGGGCTGACACCTGGGAGATCCCGAGTGGCCTGGGTCTCGGAGACCTTCCGACAGCTCCCCAGGAACTCCAACACGTGTTCCGGTTCGGGGCCTCTGGTGCGGCCAGGGGGCAGCTGGAGCACGCGCTCTTCTGCCCCCCTCCGTCCCTTATTAACGACCTGGGTCTCGTGCTCTCACGCAGGGAAAACCACCCTTGCTGAATAATTTGTGTCTCTTGCTGGAAAACGGGGGCATTGTTTTTATTTACTGTGCTTCACCAGGGATTATATAACTGGACAGACTAATAGCCTGGAAACTGCTAAAACCCTTGCAATTTACTTACCCCAAAGTATTTAAAAGCAAAGAGAGCCCCTAGAAAGCCCATAAATAAACACCTCTGTGAGTGAATTAATTTCTAACTAGTTATGTGAAATTACTATCAGTTATTAAACATGATTCCACATCACTCACAGAATCTTTTATTAGGAATCATGTTGGTGATTAATTGAAGTGGAAGGAAAGAAGTTCTTTTTCCTCCTGGGTGAGAGCACATTGTCCCAGCCGGGGTGACTGTGCTGCAGGCTCCTGACCAGGGCACAGTGTGGCCTTCAAAAGGGGGGCGAGTGGGGACTGCGAGCCGGCTTGGGAAGGCCAGAGGATTTCATTCCCAGCTGGCGTAGTGAGGCGAACGGCGGCCCCCCCAATTGTATATCTACCTCCTAAACCCTGGAACCTGTGAATGTGACCTTATTTGGAAAGAGCCTCTCTGCAGATGTAATTAAATTTAATCTTGAGATGAGATCATGCTGGACTACTTGGGTGGGCCCTAAATTCAACAATTGTCCTTATAAGAGACAGGGGAGGAGAGCACACAGACACAGGCCACGTGAGCACAGAGATCAGGCGGCATGGCCACAACAAACCCTGCAACCAACGAAAAAAGCAAAAGAAAGGGCCCCCCCGGAAAACCTCAAAGGAACACCCAAAAATCCGGGCCCAAAAAACGAATTCCGGCCGTTTAAGCCGCCCAAGGGGCCGGAAATTGGTAAGAAACCCCAAGGAAAACAAGCAAACCGGCCCCCCAAATGCAAAAGGCCCCCGAAACAAAGGGGCAACCGGTAAGGCCAAAAGAAGGGGGCAAAAGGCCCAACAAGGGGGGCTCCGAAGAGGTGCTGAGTCAGGGGTAGAAGGCGGAGGCAGGCGGAGCCAGAGTGAGCGCCTTAGGTTGGTTTCTCAGCTGCCACCAGGTCTCCAGGGCTCATGCCTTCCTATTGCCCACACCTGTGCATGTCCCAGGACTGAGCCTCTAGAACAAGGGGGTGGCGCATTTCCATTTTGACAGGCTACTGGAGGGGCAACTCCCTGCTTTGTGCAGTGACACTTCTGGTGGCTGTTCTCCTCTCCCTCCCCTGGTGATGGCCATCAAGCCTTTCCCCATCTGGTCCTGGGGACCACCCCAACCCCTCCCCCATTCCCTACCTCCGGCTTTGTGCTCCTGTAGCACTGCGCACAAACACCAGATCTCAACTCTGCGCGTGCAGGAGGCACACTGGCATGCCTGGCAAACTCCTAATTATCCTTCAAAACCCATGGCTCTTGGTCCTCTTACCAAATGAATGGCTCTCTCAGTGTGACCTCTTTTATTTCCGTCTATTTGTAAGACACAGTGCTGCCTGTGTGTATCATATTGCGCTGTCGTGTCTTTGCTTATATTTGTGTCTCTCCACCGAGCATGCCTGTTCAGCACCTGGCCCCCCAGCACACTGTCTGGAAATGAATAGCTGGGTTGTGCTGACCAATATTTGCTGAGTCAATCACGGCTACATCAAAGCTAAGTGTCCAAAATGCTGAAGGGGTAATTCCTTCCCTACATCCGCATTCCCACCACCTAACCGAATAAAAACGCCACTCTGCACAGATCAGGACAAAAGCCACTCTCTGGCCAAACAGACATCTACTGTCACAGTCAGGTATCAGGTCAGTTCCTGGGTCTCTCTAGTTTTTCATTTTCATGCTGTGGGACAGGGGCCGCTGCCTATGCATGCCCCAAGGACTGTGGCCGGGGTCACCTCTCTAAGGACAAATTGGAGGACTGTCACAGAAAGGGGATGTGGGTGCCAGACAGGCCCAAAGCAGAAAGGACTCCCTGTTCCAGGAAGGAAGAGGCCACCTGTGGCCTCCACTGCCCAGGTCCCTTCTCCTGCTGACCTGTGCCTCCCTCCTCCCGAGCCCAGGACCCCAGCCAGGTGTTCCTGCCACCTCCCAGGCTCCAGTCGCTGCCCGAGTGTGCTGGGCCCGCCAGGCTCGCCCCGGGTTTTTATTTCCAATTGATCGCTTGCAGAGGAAGCCTGCCCCAGTGGGAGGTAAACATTTTATTTCTGCTCTGACTTCTTTAGATGATGGAGAGCAGCAATTTGCCGGCTTGTGCCGAAGAAGGCCAAGTCTCCCTCTTGTCCTAGAGGTAACTGCCAGTACCTGATCCGCAGAGAGAGCGTCTGGTTGTGTCTCCACGTGGACGAGGCTGGCTGGATGGTGTGCTTCATGCTTTCATTGCTTCTGTCAACAACAGCTGGCGACAAGGAGCCGTTTATTACAACTTCAGCTCTGGAAGGGGGGGGAAGGGGCAAGGAAGAGGATAGACATGATCCGTTAGCACGCGGATGACAAGTCTAATAGTTTTGTTTTTGCACAGGCTTGAATGTAAACTTCTTTAGAAGAGCAAAATTGCAGTTATTACCTGAGAGGAGAAGGAAGTCTATTTATCTTCTAGAATGCACAAACTCTCTCCCTCAGGTATAAACTGCACGCACTCTTGGAGACAGGAAGGGGGGTGAAAAATTGACTTTCTCTTACCACCCCCAATGTTTCCTTCCCAGCAAGGAGGAAACACTCCAGCAGTCACTGTCAGGCTAGGAATATTTCTTATTCAAGCTACTGATAAGAAACTCCACCAGGAGTAGGCATATTAGCAGCAAAGCATCAAATGATAGGCTTATAAACTTAAAGAGAAAACAGAAACTCATTCCGGGACAATGGGATTGTAGCTGGTGGCTTCTCTGTCCTCCCCAGTGTCCCTTCATTCTCTTTCGGGTAACCCTGAGATGCCCTTTGACACATCGACCTTGTCAGGGAGTTACCTGTGCGGTCTCACTCTCTCCTACTAGACTGTGAGCATTTCCATATTCTCGAATGGTCTAACATGGCAGGTGCTCGATAAATAAGTGTGTATTGAATTTTTGAGCTTGAACTTGATCCCGGGGTGGGGGTGGTTTGGGGCTGGGGCGGATGAACTTGCTGGCTGGCTTTGTACGCCCCCGGGGCGGATCACAGTTCTGGGTACCCGTCATCTTTCCACTGGCTCAGGAACGCCAGGCATTATGGGACCCCCTTGAATTCAGAGCCTTGAAATCTATGCTACTAGGTGTCTGAGAAACTAGGTTACAAGTCTATCTTTAAAGGGAGCGTAAGAGCCAGCCTGCTTTCTGCCGGATGCACACAGATGCATGTGGGTCACATCCAAAGTTCTTTTTGTCTGCGCTGACAGCAGATTCTCCCAGTTAAAATGAAGTGGATTTGTGATGCCAAATTCTGAAGCTTTAAAGAGTTCAAACCAAACATCTCTGTCCTCCGCATTTACTTTGCAAAAGCTAAGTTAAAAAAAAGATGAAATCCTGTTAGCGAGGGCCAAATCCTCTATTTTGACTTTTGCAGGTAGAGAGGAATTCATTTAGGAGTGCACATCATCTCGCCCATTCCCCTCATCCGCCCTCCTCTGTTGCTAATATTTCTGGCTCCTGTGGCTGATACCACTTGTCTTGGATTCAAATGTATGTAACTTTGCAGAGGACAGAAAATTTAAAAGAGTTTTGAGCAAGGCACATGGACTCCTACTGCCATGCTGGCCTAAGGGAGCCCATGAGAGGTCACAGAAGTCCCGACCATTTGCAATTTTTACTATTTTCATGAAAGAAGCAGAGGGTGTAGCGGAAAGACTTCATAAGTGGTGTAGTCAATTGCTTTACCTCCCTGAGCCACAGTTTCCCCATTTATAGAAAGATGGTGTGGAAGAGGCAGATGTTATATCTAGCTCTGAGGTTCTAGAATTCCGAAAGGACCACCAATGGTCCTGCCTGTGCCGCTGGCTGCCATCTAGTGGGGCTGTAACAGGAGCTGGCGTGGCAGCATCCCTTTGGTACTGCCTCTTTCTGTGGGTCATGGGCAGGAGCAGTGGCCTTAGGACCACGGATTTAGCTGCCACATCTGGGACCCCCTATATGCAGCGCAGTAGGCATATATGATAAAAATGCCCTAATGTTTGTGATGAGGCGTTGTCATCCTGAGAGGCTAGCTGATGTTCTCATCAGGAATGGGTGACGGGGCCCTGGCATCTTGTGGCTTAAGGTGGATTCAGTCTAGGGTGATGGTCCTCAGATTGGATGACGCCAGGCTCTCGGGGAAGAACGACCGGCAGAGGTGTTCTCTCATGGGTGCCTGTAGAGGGGACCTGCTTAGGACACCTCCAGAAGGGGTTTCCAGACTTCTCTTGAACACAAGGTGGTAGAGGTAGAAAAGGGAGACAGAGAAATGCTGGCAGGGACAGTGACAAAATTCCATTTCCAACCCCACCTCCTGGCGTGACCCTGGACAGGACCCTGCGTGGCCAGCTGTGGTGTCGTGGGGCTTTAACCCTGGCACTGTCACTATCTAGCTGGGAGCCTTGGGAAAGTCACTGCGGGTCTCTGGCCTTCGCCTTCTCATCTGTAAAGTGAAGGGGGTGGATTAGGAAACCCCAGGTTTTACACGCTCCGTGCTGCACAAACGCAGCTGGGTGGGTGGGCTGAGATTCTCCCCTTCAGTGAGTGTGTCCCCCTGTCCCCAGTTCCCTCCCCAGCTCTCAAATGACAGTAGAGGTGCAGTTCAGGCTGAAGTTGCTTTGCCCCCACCAGCTCCTAAACTTCACCCTCAGTGACCATCTTCTGATGCTGCAGATACACCCACAGTGACAGTAACAAGCATCAGCTGAGTCCTTGAACACATTGGGCACTAGGCTGGACAGACCCTTGCATTCGGTAGTTCTAATCCTGAAATACCCCTCCAAGAAGACGTTGCAGTAGTATTCTAATTGAATGAAGAAGCCAGGGTTCCAGGGGTGAAATCGCTTGCCTGACCTGGGTTAGCAGGCACCAAGGCTGAACCCAGGGCTGCCTGGCTCCTAAGACTGTTCTTTCTTCTTCTTTTTTTTTTTTTTTTTTTTTTTTTTTTTGAGACAGAGTCTTGCTCTGTCACCCTGGATAGAGAGTGCAGTGGCATCATTGTAGCTCACAGCAACCTCAAACTCCTGGGCTCAAGTGATCCTCCTGCTTCAGCCTCCCAAGTAGCTGGGACTACAGGTGCGTGCCATGATGCCCGGCTAATTTTTTTTTCTATTTTCAGTAGAGATGGGCGTCTCATTCCCTGTTCAGGCTGGTCTCAAACTCCTGAGCTCAAGCAATCCTCCCACCTCGGCCTCCCAGAGTGCTAGGATTACAGGCGTGAGCCACCGCGCCCGGCCTGTTCTTTCCACCTCTTATATACTAGATTCCTATGAGACTGTGCCTCCCTATGTCACCACAGGGCCTGGTCTTGAGGGGCAGGATCTTACTTTCTTGAAAAGGAGCGATCTTCCTATAGTAGAACAGAGACTTAGGGACACATGGCCTTCTCCTTTCTGTCTGCAATACTTGCATTTCACCAGGCATAACATAAGCTTCATTAACAGCTTCAAGGTGGCTAAAAGGTCACTTAGAGATCCAGAAGCAATGATGTCAGGGACAGGGGTCCAGTTTCTCGAGTCAGTCATGCAGTCAGGAATGGACATATTTGACTGGTCTCATATGGCCAAGAGATTTTTCAAAACATATGGAAGGGCAAACAATAACACTGTTCTACAAATAATATGAACTTCTCATTCCCAGATGGACCCAAACAGGATATTTACAAAGCAAAATGAGGTTTTCATTTTGAACAGTGGCTTTTGTTTAAGTCAAATAACTTGGCACTTCTTGCAGTGCTCCTTAAGTTCAGGTTTATAAGACTACAGGCCATAGCTCTGGGGCACTTGTCATTGATGGAGAATGGGGACTGGGAAGCCTGGTGCAGCCACAGCCAGTGGCAAGCCTGGGCCTGTTGTCTTGCAAAGCATCCGCAGGCTCCCCTGCATCAAGCTGTCCCCAGCCAAGGACTGCCGCTGCACTGTCACATGAAGTAATAACACTCTTTCAGAATTCGGAATGCACATTCAATAATCAGGGTTAACATTACTGTGTTGACTCCCTAAATATTTTAAGAGGTCTCAGCAAAGTTCTCGAATGTTTTATTTTCCATCTTAACCTCCTGGACAAGCCATCTAGCACAATGAAATTGGGTGAAAGTTCTAGTTCCCTTCAGGGTCTCCACTGCTCAGCAAAAACGTAAGTTATGAGAAAGCTCGCCAGTGGCCCAAGCATTACAAAGTGGGTGGGCTGTCTTCCAGAAAGTGACTCTTTCCCCATGTGCATTTTCCATCTCTGCTGCTTCTAGACCTTAGGTCATTTCATGTGATCTTCCATTGACAGCTCCCCCCAAAAGTGATTAGGGAAATGCAAAGCCAAAGTGAAACGAAACAGATCTATTTGCGAAGTAAGAAGGGCACCATCCAGCAAAGAGAAGAAGCAGATTAATAGCTGCCTTACAGCAAAAACAAATGAACACAAAATCTAATTTACAAACCTATTAGATTTGCTATGTAAGCTGTTCACAGCTGATCTGATTGTACCTCTGCCTCCAGAATTCCTGCAAGACAAAGGAAATGCATTATTTATAAACCCAGCTCTTCTTTTACAAAGCCCTCTTCAATTGCCAGGAGATCCCACAGCCCACCTGGAGAACTAACGAGGAAGGATAAGATCTCACTCTGAGCTCTCCAGAATGGGCAAAGTCCTGGCCCCAGCCACAACCCAAGAATTTTACGGGCAAGGGAACCTCTGAGATCCTCCTCTTGCCCCTCAACGTGAAGACTATCTCACTTAGCACCCATTTGAGATTGGAAGTAAACCCCTTTGGGATTGGTTTTTCCAGGTGAATCCCACAGGATAGCATGATTCAACATGACTCAGCATCTGTGCTGGCATGAGTCAGCGTCTGCTGGCTGTCTTCTCTTGCTTTCTCTCAACGCGGTAAGTTGTCCATCACCTTCTCTCCAACCTTGAGAGACACCAGAAGTTCAACAGAGGCAACGAGATTACTCCACAGTGCCTCTAACCAAGTGTGATAATGATTTGATTTTTGGTGGCAGGAGAAATGATATTAAGTGGTGTCACTTCCCAGGGAAGTGGGGCAGGAGTGGGTGGGTAAAGGGGTCCTTCTTCCTTCCTCTGGAGGACAGCTTTCGGAATGAAAGAATGCTAAGACCCTGGCCAGCCAACCGTCTATTCAGTTCTGTCCAGTGCCATTCTGTCTGGCCACACACTGTCATCCTGCGTCACTACCACACTAGGCTGCAGGAGGGAGGAATCCATGTACCCCACTTGTGCCTTGTGCGTTTTAGAAAAGTTGTGAGGCCAATTATTTTTATTGATAAAAAATGTATAGGGTGTGTGGTTTGGGGAGGTACTTAGGATTTTTCTCATTTAAAAAATGGTGTTTAGCCTTTCATTAGAGTGTTAGTGCACTCCTAAGAAACAGTTAAAATCACCGGAGAAGCTGTGTGTTGGAAAAAACCTTGTCATTAAAGGAGAACTCTTCAGGGGAAGTGAATGGCTGTCCCCACCCTGGTTTTAAGTCTGGATTTTTCTATCTGCTTCCCTTAGGATTCGCGGACTTGGATATATGACAGAAATGCAACAGTGCATGTGTGTTGTCTTTTCCTGATAGACTGAGATGTCTTTTCAACATTATTTGGTAACAGGAAATATTCTCCCATTTTACAGCCCAATGTCTAGACAACAAGAATGGTGTTAGAATTTATCTAGCGCCTCAACTCAGTCTCCCTTTAGGTCTTGAATTTCACTACTACAAGCCTAGTTATTAATTACACGGAGCATCACTGGTTCTTCTCATTTTAATGTCTATTTTTTTTCCTCTCTCTCCATTTCCCCTGGGGATAGCAGAGTTCTAGTACTTCTAAGTTGGGATCTGAGAAAGTCCACCAGCGCTGGCCCCACAACCATTGTCCACCTGGGTCAGGCCTCGAGGGCATTGCTGGGTGTGCTACAGCCCACTGTCCCCATCCTTGGGGACACCCTGACCCCAGCCCTCAAAATCAGCCCCACTTGTGGTGGAGGGAAGACATGCTTGGCCGGACATGAAGTCAAGCACAGTACTTAAAGTCGCAGTAATAGCTTCCAATGAATGAAAGGTTAATGGCACCAAGGAGATTGTCCAGAAATGTTTTATATATGAGAATTAATATATGACTTCAAAAAATCATTATCAAAGAGAAATTCAGTAAATGGTTTGGAGTAGTTGGTTAACAACCTGGGAGTGAGTTGGGAGAGAAACAGTTGAGCATTACTCTACTTTAGACAGCAAAATAAATTCCAAATGGATTTAACCAGTGTTTCCCAAACTTCAGTAGTCCTTGTACTTCTATCACCAGTTTGCCATATTTATCACCCCCACGTGGTAGTATCCACTTACATTTTAAAATGGACTCATCTTTTAAAAACTTATCGTAAGCAATACCATCTGTGAAATACAGGCTTGATATCATGATTACATACTCATTAAAAAAAAAAACCCACACAACCCTTAATGCAAAAATATTCATCAATGGAGTTGCTAAAATCATCTTCCATTACCACGAGGAGTGACAGGAGCGCTTGCACCCCCCCCCCTCTGGGAAGGACTGAATTAAGCAGTTAAATATGTAAAGAAGGCGCACTGTAAGAAACTGGGAAGAAGAGGGAAGAGAATGCTATCCAATCTTTGATGGAGGCTGGGGAGTGTATGGGAAGGACTTTTTAGATTCAAAAGGATAAGAAATCACAAGAGAGAACGTAGACAGGTTTGACTTCATAAACATCCCACACTCTGCTTACACAAAGAGCAAAGCTCGACGGACCCAGGTGCTTTCATGAAATCTGAGAAGGCTCTGGATGAGGACAGCTCTGCATCTTGTTTAATTTCTCTCATTCACTCAACAAAAATTTACTGAGAAATGTTATATTTGGGGCTTTGGCAAAGCTAAACCTATATCGTCCCCACCCTCATGGAACACATACAGCTTAGGAGGCAGCAGAAGCATCAATCCTTTCATTTTTTCTGAGTCTCCAATGCCCCACCAGTCTTATTAAGGTTTAATTGACAAATGGAAATTGTATATATTTATGAGGTACAACGTGATGTTTTCAGATCTATATTTATATATATATACTCATACCTTGTGAAATGATTAAATCAAGCTATTTAACATACTCGTCACCTCACTCACTGTTTTTTGTGGTGAGAACATATAAGATATATACTTAGCAATTTTCAAGCATACAAGACAGTATTATTACATATAGTCCACCACGCTGTACAACAGATCTCCACAACTTATTCAATATTCCGTCTGGATCTTTGTACTCCTCGCCTAACCTCTTCCCTCTCCAACCCCAGTCCCCGACAGCCAGACTCGGAGGAGAGACCCAAAGCCACGCAACAGCTGGCTTCCAGGGTTTCTCCTCCCCTGCATCTCGAGATACTGCAAATCCATGCGCTTTTCGTACCAACCTTCCTCTAACTCAGGGTTTCCCGGCCTTGGCAGTGTTGCTTTGGTCGGCATGTTTCTCTGCGGGCGGGGTCAGGAGTGGGGCAGCGTCTACGTGTGTGCTGTAGCATGATGGGCAGCATCTCTGACTTCTACTCACCGGGTCCCAGTAGCAGCCCTCCTCCTGTGCCCCCAGGCTGTGACAACCCAAAATGTCTCGAGACATCACCAAATGTTCCCTGGGGCAAAGGGGCAAAGTTGCCTGCAGTTGAGACCCTCCACACAAACTCTCAAACTCTGGCTTTCCGCCTTGTGCCTCTCGGAAGACGGATCCCTGCCCCCACCAGCCAGCCGTCCCAGTGCCTTTCCATGCGTCCCCCCGGCCCGACATCTGGGCCTCCCCCCAAAACCATCCCGATTTTCAATTCTCAGCCACCTTCCCTTTCTTTTCCCAGAGCACTCAATTCTGTTGCAGCATTTGTCACCTTTTTCTCATATGTAATTACTTCACAGTGTCACAGCTGGGAGGCTTTAGGAAATCTTGTCATTTACACAAACTGAACTCCTCCTCTTAGAGTTGAGGAGCCCGGGGCCTGGGGTTTGCGAGTCCCAGGTTCAGCATCCCTGGCTGCTCCCCACGCTGGGGTGCAAGCCGTTGAGGGTGTGCATTAACCGTGCCTGTCATTTTCTGCGTCCTGATGCTTTGACATCTGGGGCTTTGCTGACCCTGGAGAAACTGCCCCTCCCGGGGTTAGCCAGTTCCCAGAGATGGCAAACAACTGTCCTGGGAGTGTGTCTGTCACATACAAACCACCCAATCCAGAGCCCACGCCCACCACCTCCTCTACTGGGCTGCCCCACTCAGGGCCACTATCTGCTGGCACTGCACCTCGCCAGGAACCAGGCAACTGGGGACAGCTCCTGCACCCCAGAGCCTGCCGGAATTATTCCAACCAGCCGATTCTAAGGCTGCTCACCCTGCCTTGCCCGCTCCTTCCTGTGCAAACCACAAGAAAGGCTCTGCCGCAGTTTCCCCCTCCTTCCTGGCTCCTGACCGACCCCAGCACTTTCTCGTGTGGTGCCCAGCACGCAAGTACAACAAACTTTGTCTTTTCAGTGGCAGTCATCTCCTGATCTGTCGGCCTTCACGGACCAACCTGTCTTAAAACACCACCGAGCCTTGTCTCGTTCACTTTCTCAGCCTTGCATAGTGCCTCGCCCACCTGGGGCTCAGTGAATCAAATCAAACTTTGCCCATAAATAGGACTTTTCTTCTAAAGTCTTCCCTGCAGTCTATGTGCTGTGCTGCTGCCTACATTTATGCCTGCACCCCACACCGTCCCGCCTGTCCGTCGTCCACGGGAGGAGCAAGGGCATCATTCAGACAGGCTCGGGCTGCACGTGTTTGGCTCTAGAATAAATCACATGAATTAACAACGGATTTTTTTTTTCCAATGAGGTTTTGCATCAAATGTTATTAAAATAAGCTTGGATTCCTTGTGATGGGGGACTGTGGATACCTGCTAGGTCGAGTGATTGAGGAAGATGATCAGGTGAGAAACATTTGCTAAAGAATTCACCAAGTGCTGAAATTACAGAAATGTAGATGCTTAGAACACCCAAATGAGAAAATGTATGGGAATGCACTTTGCACACTATGCAGAGCTCTACAAAACAAAGTATAATATCGGTAATAGCAACTGTCCATTTGACCCTGCTGAGATCTTCTCAGCCAGCATGGAAATACAGGTCGATAACTTTCAAAGTCTACATTTTAGAATGTCAGGTTTTTTTTCCACCAAAGACATGCCATTCTCTCCTAGTAGAGTGTATATGGTAAACTAAGACAATAAATAAAGACAGCATGTTAATGAAACAAAACCAGGCCAGACATGGTGGCTCACACCTGTAGTCCCAGCACTTTGGGAGACAGAGGGAAGAGGATCACTTGAGGCCAGGAGTTTGAAACCAGCTTAGGCAACATAGACTCTTCCTCTAAAAAAAATAATAATAAAAATTAGCCAGGTGTGGTGGTAGGCACCTGAAGTCCCAGCTACTCAGGAGGCTGAGGTGGGAAGAATCCTATGAGCCTAGGAGTTGG